AAGTCATGACCCAGCTCCGAGCTAAAACACCAGCAGCAGGCTGCTGTCTGACTCCACTCGCACTCCGAACCACCCGCAGCTTCACACTCCGTAAGGGAGGTGACAGCATTTGAAAAACCCAAGAAGGAAAATTCATCCCGGCTGTAAAGCAGGGAGAAGGGCATTTGTCCTGGCTCCTGATGTTTAATATGCAGAAATAACAAGGCAGAAACAGAATGCAGTTCCCTTGAGGACTCTGAAACCTGCAGAGCAGCATCCCAAAGGAGCTGCAAGGCTGAGTCCTCTCTCAAGCACGGAGATTTGAACCTTTCCTTGTGTTTCTTTGGACACAGAATACATTTCACGTGGGATGGAAATAGGTGTTCAAAACTCTTACAATGTATTCTGGTTTCCTCCCTCTTGGATCCGGGATTAGATCCGCTGGACTATAATCCTGTGGCTGTACCTAAAACAGCCAAGACCAGTATGCAGAAAGCAAAAGGTGGTCAGACCCTTCAAGCTAGCAGAGTAGAGGCCTCCCTGCAGCTCAAGCGTGGCCCTGAAGAGGGTAGAAAGCAAGTGAAAAACATCCTGGCTGCAGAAGTTGCTGAAGGGGCCCGGAGCACCAGGAGCAGAAGAAAGCTCTGGCCTGAATAATGACACAGGGAAGAACTGCTGCATTTGCTTACTGCAAGACACAGTCTGCACTGAGTCTCATTAGGTACCTTCAGATCTCAACATGCAGCTTTTACACATGTATGTCATTTCTCTTTCCATTATAGCCCATGGTTCAGTAACAAAGTTCAGGGCACTGGAGATGGAGAAAGGAATAGTTCACCACAGAGCAAACTATCCCCATGCCCAGAATGAGAAGAGACTGTTGAATATGTAAAGTGCTGGGAAACCAAGTGGCTTAACAGAAGGTGAAGATACTTAAACATTAATACTACTCACCAGATATCCACCTTTTCAGAGACGGGCTCATTGCGTATCACCTCTGGGGCCATCCAAGCCACAGTTCCCGCAAAAGACATCTTGGTACTTTTATCACTGAGTTCTTTAGACGTACCAAAATCTGAAATTTTTACTGCATCTGTGTGTGTAACTAAAACGCTGGAGGGAAAAAAAAAAAATAAATAAATCAGCATTTTGCAATTTTTCTTGTACCACAACAGCCACTGGGAATAAATCCTTTCTTAATGAACACAAACAGTGGATGAGGCCATGCTGTTCACAACTGTAGCACAAGAAGAAAAGATCATGCATTTTCACTGATGAAAGCACTCACTTTCTTTGGGGTGGTTGTGTTTTGTGCCTCAAATGCACTTCTAAATGCTACAAGTCAAAAATCAATCTTGATAAAATTGCAAATTAACAACTCACTGAAGATTCACTATATCTGGGGGTGTTCCAAAGTTTTAGTAAAGCTATACCTTAAACTGTACTGTAAACCATCTAAAAGTATTATCCTAACGCACTGTCACAGTCACGTCACAGGCTACAGTGATGAACATCTAGGGAATAAGAATATAAGTAGCCAGATGGTTTTAGACAGAAAGCAACAGAGAAATGAGAAAGATGCATTCCAGAAAACCAGGGAAGTTACAAAAGAACAATTAAGAAGGAAAAATAAAAAAGCAGAAGGCAACAGAATATCCCACTTTCAAAAAGGACCAGACATCATCAAATCATTAGAAATATTTCCTGACTGCTATTTATCATGTAAGATACATGGTAAAATTTCCAGTCTTGTTAAGCTGCAGCACAGGAGAGGAGTGTCACTAAGCTTCATTAGTTTCACTCTCACTAGTTTTGAGTCAACATGGAAAAAAAATAATGGGGCTTTTGACCTAACTTTAAACTGTTCCTCAAGAAAAAAAAGACAGCCACAACTGAGGGATGTGTAAGTAGCTAGAGACTCACTTTGGTGACTTGAGGTCTCGATGGATGATTTTGTGGAGGTGCAGATAATTCATCCCACTTGCAATCCCGGTGGACCAATCCACAAGCAGCCGAGGGGTGACTTTCCGCCCTGCTCGCAGAACTTCGTAGAGCTGTCCATGTGCACAGTACTCCATGATAATACAGTAGCATGGGGCTTGAGTGCAAACTCCCCTGTCAAAGAAAACACACAGCGAGTGAGGATCAGTAGAGTACAAGTCCCAGAGCAACTCTCAAAGGCGGCAATCAAGGGGTGGGAGAGTAATCTGTTTATTCTGCCTGGGAAAGCCTCTGCTAATACCGCCTTACTGAACAGGAAGGGGAATGTTTCCTGCATGCTTTGCACAGGAGGAACCTCACTGATGACAGGGGTGGGTTTCCTTCAACTTCCACACCTGCAGATTTGTAGGGTTCACAGCAGGCGTTTTGTGAGCCTGCATGCAAAGTGCAGCACTGGGTGGGAATGGCGTCCATAGCTTTATTTTCACAAGAATGTGTGACAATTCGAGAGGAAGGATGACCACCCATTTTGTCCCACAGATAGCTTGGTCCCTGGATTTTAAAAAACTTGGCCAGGGTACATATGTGAATGGCTCTTCCTTGGATAAAGGTATGTTTCTAACAAGTTTCACAACCTACTTGAATGCAATGATGTTGGGATGTTTGAGTTTCCGCAAGTGCTTGATATCCGTTTCGTTCTGATCTCTCACTTTCTTGATGGCCACCTCCTCCGCCCGGAATTTGCCCAGGAAGACAGCTCCCTGCGCGCCACTGCCCAGCCACTGCAGCTCCGAGATCTCCTCGAATGGGACCTCCCAGGTATCTAGGCACAGGCAAGCAAAGGGAACAACATAAAAGATCAAGACCACAAAAGTGTTCTGCTGCAAGATCACACCAGGACAGCACCTGCCATCTCCCTTGCTATATCTTGAGGTGGACTTTTCTGTGGGTTGGTAGATGGCATCTCCTCCCGGTACAGGCGCAGCTGAGGCACACACCGCACATGCTGAGCCCCAGCTTCCCTTTCATCCAGCTCCTCTCCTCCATCACAGTCCTCCAGCCTGTTCCTTCCCTGAGCCCCAGCTTCCCTTTCATCCAGCTCCTCTCCTCCATCACAGTCCTCCAGCCTGTTCCTTCCCATCCTCCCAGCTGCTTTTTCAACAGAGCTCACCACCACTGCGAACCACTCGGGTGAGCCACTTCGACTTGGCAGGCAGCAATTTAACATACCAGGGACATTGGATTGGAAATTTAGGGAGCAGGTCCTGTACTCCAAAATTGAACGATGATGGCATCTCTTATAAAGTACATGACTCCATTGAAAAGCATAGATGAGGAAAAAAAACATTTAACATTGACAACTGACAAAAAAAATTTTGAGGTTTCCCACGCACACACCAAAACAGGGCAAAAATGGGAAATAAAAGGGAAAGTCAGAAGTGGCAGGTTGTAAAACGCAGACCGGCAACCACCGAGTTACCCAACAAAAAGCACATTAACCACCACCACCAGTCACAGAAACAGGTCTTTCTCACACCACCATTGTGTATATCAGTGTCAAACAGGCAAAAAAATCTTAAGCGATTCCTCCCCTTAGGCACCCACATGCATCTTGTGGGGATACTGCCAGAGCGGTCCAGTAGCGCTGTACAAACTGTTTCAAGACAGTTGTACCCATCAGAACAAAAGGCCTTGTTGTCCGCGAGTCACCTTGAAATTCCCTTAACATCCCACAAACAGCAAGATAAAAGGCAGGCAATAATTTATTTACTGTAACTCAATAAATGGGTAAGTTTAGAGAATGAATTATTTAGCAGCAAAACCAAGAAGTAACCCACTGATTTCTGAAATAAAAGAAAGTCGTGCCTGTACAGATCCCTATTTCAGATCACTAAAAAGACATGTCTTCTTTCATCCAGTCTCCGAGCCATCGGGGTGTTCCCAGGGCTGCAACTGGGATTGTGCAAAAGTGTTCATTTTAGATACTGTCACCACTGAAGGGAAACTCATACACCCAAACTGTCTCTGGGCTGATCCTGATTCAAATCTTTCCCTCAAATCACTCCTGCGACAGTCAGACACTAGCTGGGTGTCTCCTGCCGAATGACTGCTCTCCAGGCATGGCCAAGGACAGCCAGCTCCCATCCCGAGCCAGACCCCAGCGCTCGTTCTGCTCACTGAACTAGAAAAAAAATACATTGTTAACCTACAGCAAAAATTTCCTTCAGCTTGGCAGAGCAAAGTTCAATCCTCAGCACATGTTTCTTCACAGACACAAGTCTATTTTTCATACTGATATATCCACTTGCAACCTTACTTCGTACAAAAATACTAAGACAGCGCATGCAGCTCTCAACTGAAACGCATTATAACTAAGCAACTCCAGTAACCGTGGATTTGCAGCGGACAATCCCTATCCTCAATTTTCACAAATGCCATGACACTGTGAAGGTGATATTGCCTACCAGCAAATGTGTCCTTTGGTATTGAAGCAAGAAATGCCTGTCCCTGTAAGAACCTAACAGAAATTGATGCATGAAACATGCTGTGACCGCTATCTTGACCACAGGACATTCAAGTATTTTAAAACAATAAGCGTTCTTCTTTACCAAACAACTTGAGCAATTTTTTGTCACAATACTTAAAATTGGTATTTAATTCTTTAACCATTTAAACATTTAAAGACAGTTGTTTAAATAAGGAAAATAAGGAAATTCATAAATAAATTAAGATTTGCATTTCTATTTAATTCACAAATGCGTTTCTTTTGAAAGAAGGTGGCAAATACAGTTGATTTTTTTGTTTTTTGATGAACAGTATTTTTACATGAGCAACACAAACTATTCCGTTGTACTGAAATAGCTGTTTCTTTACATGTGAGAAGACTGCCTTTTCTGTACAAGGCACACAACATTGTCATTTATTTCCCTGAAGCACCCGAAGTTTGTGAGCAGTAATGGCTCACAATAGTAGAATATATTGCTATCATCTAGAAGCCCTAATTTGCTCTAAATATCACCTATTAACCTCCGCAATGGCAGAGAGAAATTGTAAACAAAGTAAGCAAAAGTTCATGCGCTTCCTCCTGCAAAATCATCTCGTGTTTATTTGGTAAGATACACTCCTTCCCACATCCCACTTGCACCCTGATCATCAAGGGCACGATTCAGGGAAGAGGTTTCAGTGTAGCAACTATCAGTGAAACATCCTACATCTTTGGAAATTTCAAGAAGAACGAAGAGCCAAACCATATGTAATGTATAATGCAACAGTAAGACAAAAATCCAAAAAACCCTTTCACTGTACAGGAGCATGTTACTACATTTCAAGAGAGCCAGCATCACTGATTCGTTTGGCTCCCATAACACAGCAAGCACTGAAAAGCTTCCCAAAGAAAGTGATGCTGGTGGAGAAAAGCACTGGACTACATTCAGTCGAAGACCAGGGTTTGTTAGCATTAGTGGCGCAAACCTGCATTTTCTACTGTAACCCAAACCCATCGATTAAAAAAATACACCTAAATTATCTTGTGTATGTGCTCCCTATGGCTCCCTGGGACCACCCTCAAGGACAACAGGCTGACAAGGGTCAGTATTACAAAGTTAGTCTTATCAGTTCTGCAGAGGGGCAAGGCTGGAGAAGAGAGGACTCAACACACCGCCAGCTGAATACAGCTGAAAGTTGAGACCATGCACATCACCCGGACGGCGGGTTATAAAGCTCTCCCCACTGCCTGTACAGACCCATCCTCAACAGCCCACAACACCTGGAAGCAAAGAACAGTGAATTACGGCTGTCCCAGCTTCGGCACATCTACACAGCATGCACAATAAGAAACACAGCATGCGAGAGATGGTGCCGAGATCTCTGTCATCTCAACCAACAGCTTGAAACAGAAAAGGACTTGCATAAACCAGCTGCAAGAACTTGGGTGCATGGCTACGACGACTCACCACAGTTCAGTCCAAGTGCCTGTCCAGAAGAGTAACACCTCAGATGATCAGCAGGGTGGCTAGGAAACACATCTGGACACACTAATCAAGACTAGACTGTACTGCCAGCCTTGTTCTAAAAGTCCATTAACATTGCTTGGCTAAACATCCTTTGAGATTGCCCAGACTTCAGGGCTTGCTACACCTCTCCTAGCACTCCCCCCTCCTCCAGCAGAAGAGAGACAAGGATACCTCCTACCAGGATGGAGCAGTTTTTATTCCAGACTCTTCTGGGCCTAAAGAAACCTATGGGATACTTCCCCTAAATAAATTAAAGTGTAATAGGAGCAGGAATTACGCAAGAGCTTGCGTTTCTAAGGTGATTAAGAACCATTTGAGTAGAATGATGGGAATCTGTTTCCCATGGGGAAGAAACGCAGGAGCAGCCTGAGCCATTGAGTCAATCTATTTGAAGCGAATTTTTGCCGTTTGCCAGCGCTGGCTGCTCACCAGCATTGGCATTATGACAAGAAGCACCTTTGGTTTACAAAAAAAACCCCACAAACACAAGCACACTTCGTAAAGCACCTTGCTCTCCAGGTTTACACAAAAATGCACATGATGACAGTAAACACGTAATTTGTGAAAGGGAAGGTGAAAGCAATTCCTGGAGACAGATTCTTAATCCAAAGGAAATGGCTCGGGAGTCTAATGAGTCTGTAGAAAACACAAACAAGTCTTACTATAAAGTGCTAGAGTCCCAACAATCCAAACTAAATAACCGGTAGACGCAAATTAAGGAACTAAGACTATCTCCCTGAAAGCACTCACCAACAGCCTTTAGAAATCAGGGTAAACAACTGGAAAAACATAGTCAGGAGTGGTTTTATGGGTCAGACCCAAAATACTTAAACCTCAGATAATCAACTGCTAGCCACTGAACAATACAAAAGCAAACACTCCCTGCAGGAATGACTACTCACCAAGCAGGTAGAGCATTTAACAGCAGCAATTGGCACTGCTTAGTCAACCAGCAGACCACCCTGCAGCAACTTCCAGCTGACCAAAGCTCTGCCCAGCGTGGGTCCTCAAGGGAAGCACAGAAACGCACTCCTCTTGACGACCATCTCAGACGTTGAGAAGGAAACTCAAGGAGTAATTTCAACAAGAAGATAATGTGGAATCATGTAAAAGTTGTTCTTGTCTTCTCCCCCATTCACCAAGTCACGAGCCAAGCCTTCGCAGGCAATACGGACTCAAGTATCAGACGTTTGCAAAGGGCATGAAACCTATTTATATTTTACTACTTGCAACCACACCACACCACCACCACCACGTCCTAGAGTTTGGGCCTGCAGGAGATCCAAAGCAGGCGAGCAGGGATGCCGGTGAGCAGCAAAAAGTACTAGGAAGCATCTGCAGGCAACATGAAGTCCCCCATGGCTGCAGGTCCAAACTGGACTCCTACCCCAGTTGTTGATTCAGCCCAACACAAAGGATTGCTCCCAGATAAGGCTTAAAGCAGTTGTTTCATGAAGAGGGGAAAAAGATCATCTGCACAGATCTGTGGCACCAGCTCAAAGCCATAAATAAGCTCCCAGGGGCATGAAAGGCCACCACAAGCCCCTCTCTACTGCTGAAAGAGCCAGAGACATTTCCTCAGCCTGTCTTATCCAAACACATAGCACTTGCACAAACACAAACTTTGCATCCTCTGTGCTCTTGCTAAAAGACAGCAAAAATAAAAGCAATCACATCCATCAGTTACTAAACTGCTGGCTTGTATGTAGATGATGAAATGCACACAAAAAAAGATTTTCTGGTGGCAAGAAGCAAGAATGAGATCATCTGGAAAACAGAACATGAATATTCTGACAAAATCCTCAAATCTTAGCACAGAAGCAGTTTAAAAAGGTTTATCCTTGGGTAATAGAAGCATACTACTACCATTAGAGATCTATCCAACTGATCAGCTCCAGAGGAAGTCAAAAAAAAAAAAAAAAAAAAAAATCTTCTTTTCACTCTCATTTATGAGGGTGTAGACATTGAAGATGCAGCTAAACCACACAGGCCATATATAGCAGATCCCAATTAATCTGCAGACTTACCACATCTGTAGCCATTTCAAAATTGCCCTTTTAGGAAGGGCCTAATGCCAACAGCAAACTGCAAAGCGTCCATGAATCTATGGCTCTGAACATGCTCATGACACCGAGAACAGCAAGATACTTCTCTGTGTACGAAGAGGAGCTCTGCGTGCACCCCCAAACACAACAACGCTCTCAGCTGCTCATTTTCATTAGTTAGCGCCTCAATCTTTTTTATTAGTGACTTTCATACAAAAGAAAATGTCCCCTGTGGGCCATCAAAGCACGTATTAAACCGTGGTCTCCAATGCATCTGCTGTCCCAATTATATACGAAATATGATCTCTTCGCCTCACAGGTAGCTTTCCTGAAGCTACCCATCCGAGCTTACAGGCACAGCAAGCACATGATGGCCCAGCAGCAGCCAGAGATGAGAAGCCTGACCTGGTGAGATAGTGCTTGTATGGGATAGTCACAGAATTGCTGGAAGCAGTCGATGTAACTCTGCACCTGTGTCCTTTCCTTGGAAAGTTTCAGCTTCACTTAAAAAAACCTGAGCATACAAACCAAAGAAGCGTAACAGACATACTGACACCATGCCTCTTTTGAATGTTAACTGACTGCTCAGAAGCTCATTTTCCTTCACAAGGGAGGCTCCCGCCCAGATGCAGTCTCTTCCAAAACTCACCACATCTGACTCCACATATTGTGCAATCACCCCAATAGTGTTAATTCCCCAAGGAATTTTCAGTCACTTTTTTTATTTATAGACTCAACCATGTGTGACATACTGACTTTACAACATGCAGACAAAATTTAGAACCAACTTTGTCAAAGGATTTCAAAAACAAGTAAAATCTTGCTGACCACAGGTCTGGTAGACAAGAGGCTGCTGCTTAGGAGGCACCTTCCATTCTGCAATGCAGAGGTGGATTTCCCTGCTCAGAGCTATAAACTAGAAACGATTGACTCTAGGAAGAAGTAGTAAGTTTATTTCAAGGCAGATTCACCCAACATATTACTTAACGGCTCTGTTCCCTCATAGTAGGAACTGTTCCCCTACCCAACTCTGGTTGGGTATCTGGTTTAGATATGAACCACTCAGATGGGTGTTCTGACCACATATCTTATACTTTGTCTATGCCAGAAAACCATTTGATTAATACTGAGTCATGATCACAGCAATACAGGAGATTTCTACCCCACAGTACAGTATGGTGGTCAGGCTGTTCCCGTTTTCGATAAGCCTCAACCATTTGAGCTCCTTAATTCTAATGACAGCTTGTTCTTTTCCCATCTGCCACTTCCCTCCCCCCAGGCTAGAGGAGAAATTAGACACCAAAGGCAGAGCATATTCTGCTCTTTAGCTTTCAGTAACCCCTAAAGATATATGTATGCAATTGACTGGGACATTACTTGTTCCCAAACCACATTTTTTTTATATATATATTTTTTTTTATACTCTCACACACACACTTATACATTTATACATTTACACCTACACATTCATACATTTACACTTATACATTTATACATCTAAATGAAAAAGGTATAAACGTTAAAGGACGTATTTCTGGAAAGATAAGTACTGAATGATATTTTAAAGAGTAAAATTACTCCTGAACAAAAAGACATAGAAGTTCACGTAACATGCCCATAGAAAAGCAATACTTCTGCTATTTGGTGGTCAGCTGGAGATAGCCCTCACACACACATACAGGAGTAGAAATGCCTATGTCAGTGTTTTTTATCTGGCATGATGAAAATACCTATGCCTACGTTTTTCATCTGGCATGAAAAAACTGCAGAAATGAAGTAGTACAATCCCTGTGTTCAACACAATTCTTTCTGATCCTCACTTACACAAATACTGGGTTCAGATTCAGACCTTGTCACAACGGTCCAAGGCATGGGTCAGAACAGGCAATTGTTTTTGACTCCATCACGAGCTGCCTTTGCTACAAATGATGGCTGTTGGCTGTACAGTGGAGGATTTCTCTTTGCAAACCCATAATAGGGCTGCACAACAAAAAAAATGGTCACATGGAAAGCTGGGAAAAGGCCCTGGGTTGCTTTCCTCATCTTCACACATTCCCCCAGAAGCAATAAATGTTTGCTTCCCTACTTACCTTGCTGTTGCAGTTTGTAGTCTGTGGAGTATGCCTTGCCTATGATGTTCCACACAGGCCTCAGACAACCAAAAAGTCCCTCAAGAAACCCACCGCTCCCACTGCCCGATCTGTTGAACTGGACTTTAACATCATCCGCTCCACTGTTGCTCTCTCCATCCATAGTGTTCCTGTTGCCCTGAGGAATGGCTGTTTCAGACTCATCCTGCTCTCGCAGCTGCAGCACACTGTTCTCAAATTGGTCCCTAGAGTCCTCGCTGATGCTGGTCAGCACTGCTGCAGTGACCGGGCTGCTCATGTTTTCAATGAGGTCTGCCTGCAGCAAGCCCTTCTCACGCACGTCCTCTATGAGCTCGGGGGACAGGTGGTTTCCAGTAGGTGCATGTTCATCATGTAACCTACTAAAGTCTTTATCTTCACAGAAAGCTTTCCCGATCGAGTTTGGAGAGGAAGACGAGCTCAGGCGCTCCTGAGTACTGGCCATGATGCCGTGAGTGTGCATCAAGGAGATGGTCTGAGTTGGTACTTAGAGAACTAGTACAACACAAATCAGATGTGACACATGGACCCAGTACCTGAAACGAGAGGAAAAAGAACAACTTTCACATTTTTATTTAAGTATTTTCACTACGTGCACTTTCACAGAGGCGAGCTGATAATTAACTAGACATTCCAGACAACTGCTGATACTTAGTAAATAATTACTGCCCTAAAAGAAGCAAATAAATTATTCCAACAGAAACTCCACTCACACAGTACTCTCAGTAAGCTACTGCAGGAATTGCCCAGTAAACAAACACCTCAAGTTTTAAACAAAAGCCTAAAGGTCAAAAACGTGAAAGACTCTTCGCAGCAAAGAGCTGTTTCTTCATGGTTACTATAGCATTTATCAGACTGAAGCTGACCCCCAGCTGTTTCCCAGCTCAGGTATGGTTTGAGTCCAGTCACTGTTTCTGGGTCTGCCACAGCCCACAAGTTCAGAATCCTTCTGCAAACCCTTGAGACAAGGCGTTAGAGAAACAAAGCACAGGATACAGGTACCTTGAATCCACCAAGGCATGGTTTGTGGCTGCTCCCTCAGAGCCCCACCTAGTCATGAGCATCCTGGTCCTTTAGTTTAATCCTTTCAAGTTCAATACTTTACATTCTCTAACCATGTACATGTCACCCTCATAAGCAACTAAGAATTACAGGAGCAGTATACCCTCCTCTCTGATCTCCCTCCTTCCACAAGCCTGAAGAGCATCTCCTCCCACTGCTCTGCTTTCCCCCTGGAAAAGCATGAAGTTCCAGGTAGTCTGCATATAAATTCAGAGCTGGTGTCCCTTTTTAAAACTCCCCCCCATCTCTCTTCTCTTGCTACATGCTCCACTGAAAGCCACTTTTTCCACAATCCAGCGTAGTGCCACCTTTCTACAGAGCCAGGCCGACAGCCGAGGGTCGCGCTGCGATAGCTGCCCACTGCCAAAGCGCTTTTCTGGGGTAGAGCCACTTCTGAAACAAGAGTCTAACTTTGCACCAGAAGTAATTAAGCGCATTCAGCCTGTAGCACAGAACAAAGTCCGATTTTAAATTCCATATGAAGTTGAGAGGGGGAAAAAAAAAAAAAATGGCAGTTACAGAAACTATTTTGTTAAAAAGTAAGATCAGTTTTACTGGGTGCAAAGTCCCGGGCTCTGCAAACAGCCACTGAAAGGAAGAAAGAGGTGGCCAGGTAGCACGCAGCCAATCGAAAGGGAACAGCTCAGTCCCATAACTTCTCAAGATGAGGTCATTACAGAGATGAGAGATAACACCTTCAGCCTGGTGTATGAAAAGCTCATGCCCTGGGCTTCAGCCCCTCTCCAACAGCAGACACAGCAAATGGGGACAGCCAGGAGCCTGTTTTACGTTCCCGTATTTCTGCCTGATCACATGGGGTATGCATAAAAGCTTTATTAGAAGAACATCATTTGGGCTGTAAACTTCGTTCTTTAAAAGAAAGCGAAACAGCAAGTGAGGCAAAAATCGAAGCACAGTCCATACTAGTAAAGGAGCTGAATTAGACTTGTATGGGAAGCTCGGAGTTGTTTATTCCTGACTTACCTGTGCCCAGCGTTACAAGGACAGATTCCCCAGCATGGGAAGCTGTAGGGGGACTGCAGGAGTATGGTTACTACTAGTAGTAGTTGTTACATGATCACAGATTTTGTTGTCAATGTAAAGAAGAAAAGAGAAAAGTTTCAGACCTGAACAGAATTTCAGAAAAATGCCAAAACAACTCCAATTCAGTGCTCCTGGGCACTGCCCCTGCTCACTTCCAAAAGTCTGAGAGAGAAGTGATTCTTTAAGCAAAAACAAAACGTGACCAGTGTCGCTACAGAGGAATCTGCTTTTCCTAACACAGCGTATTAAGCAATGTAAATAAAACATAAGTCAGTTTGCCCTGCAAGAAACCCTACAGTAAGAGCCAAAACAAGAATTTGGGATAACAGCATCCCAAAAATATCTCAAATTTAAACAATGGGAAGAGCATTAAGGATTAAATCAGACTTGGAGGATAAAATTGTTTTGCTGGTACACGACTCTCAAAATACACTATCTAATAAAGGCTAGGATTTTGCCCTTACCTTTGTATGTAGTTTTCTAACTTCACAATGCATGATCGTGTGAGATTTAACAGAGAAAGAACAGCTTTTCCTGTACATATTTCATATTTTCCTAGTTTCTAAATGGATTATCAGCATTGTATGTGACTCCTGTCCCCCCATGTATTTCTCAGTATTGCTTAGAAAGTTAAGCCTCTCTCTTCCATCCGCCTGCTGAAGCACCGCAACATATATACATTATGCTGCTAATAGCTACTAGACCACCCTGATCCCCAGTTCACTTCCACTCTGGTATTATTTGCCCTACAGACACCTGTAGCCTCCCAGACAGTGCGAGTGTACACAGAGAATCCCATTTTTTTATCTCAATAAAAAGACAAAGTTTAGGCAAGTCACGTGCATTTTCTGTGCTGATCAGCAGTAGGCTGATCACAGAATCACGGGCATATTGGCTGGAAAGGACCTCTGGAAGTTACCAGGTTCAACCTCCCTCCTACCTGCAGCAGGGCTATCACAACACAGCTCAGCCGTGGCTACGATAACCCAGCCAAGAACAAACCCCCAGATTAGGGGACATCAGGTCTGTCCTACCAGATCCAATTGACTTCTCCAAGACTTAGCTGTTTCAAATTAAAAAAAAAGCCTTTAAGCACAGTGCCCTGCCATCTTATATGCCACTGTATCTGCTTCATGGGGAGAGGAGGCATCCAAAAGTTACAAAATTATTTTCAAACTGGCATGATACAGCCTTATTTAGGTACTTACATAAGCAGCCTGATTTTTCAGAGGTATAGTGAACTCATTGTTTTGAAAGCATGAGACAGCAGCACTTATTTTAAAACAACGTTGTATCAAGCCAACTTGAAGTAAAGTGGTCCAGATACATCGGCCGGGGGTAGAAGGCAGTTTCTGCAACAAGGCATCAATGCTGACTTGTTGGGGAAATGAATTTTTTTAATTATCTTATATTGCAGTAAATTCTGCAATGTGCAACCTCTTGCCTTAGCAAAATTTGATTTAACACAGACAAATTAGGTTGTCTTCGACCTTGCCATCTCTTCAAACAAGGGATGAAGGTCATTTTTCAAGCTTTATCGTCATGCCTTCCCTATTCTTTTGGTCAGAGTACCAAAGATATGGCTGAGATTGTTCATGTTGAACTCTTCCCAATAAAAGAAATCTTAGTTTCATTCAATGCAAGGAAAAACATTTTCTTGAAAGCTTAAAGTTTCATTATATACAGTTTGCCATTTGGGATGTTTATGATCTGTATGTGCCTCCTTAACTTCTACAGTGAAGAGCGTAGTCAAGCAGCGTTCTGTTTCTATCTTAGCGATGCTTCTGCTGTAGCAGTCTTCAAGTCAAAAGCTGAAAGCTCTGTGTGTGGAGGAGGATTGTGTGCATATTTAAGATACTCAGATTTCACAAAGTGCTGCTGCAAAAGCAGACTTCAAGGCAGACCCTCTGATTTGAACTATTTTGATGAGTTCATGCACTCTGCAGCTAACAAATTTATTTTACATCTATAAGGAAATTTGAGGCTCAGTGTAATTTTGTACAATCACAACTTCTTGTAAATGACCCCATTTCCAGGCAAACCGTTTTTCCAGGCAAAATCCCACCGTGCCCAGACAAAAGGAGCACAAAGTGCACCTCTTCCGGGAAGAGTCAGTCTGCACCTCAACACGTCAGACAGCTTGAGCTGCAGTTTAAAACTATTAGAAAAGTGACAGTTTACCCAAATCAGCGCCGGAGCGGGTGAATCAGTTATCACAAGGCATACTCTCACGTTGCCTGATACTGTGTCTGCCCCTGGAAACATCCATCTAGTAAGTGTTCTCACACACAGAGCAACCAAAGCCCGCGGCTGCCTATACAAGCCCAATATTTATGAGAGTGTCAAAGCAACGGTCAGGTTTGAAGACACGGCAGAGTTAAACAAATGCCTTGCATGGACCATAATGGAAGTTTCTCCTTTAAAGAGCTGTGCTAAAAATAGAGTGGCCAACCACAATTCCAGATAGAGCACACAAACAAAATGTTAGTATGCTGTAAAGGTTGAATAAGTACAAAGCAGTCACCGCTCAGTTTCCTAACAGCACAAATGTCTAGTAATATTAAGTTAGTTTCCTTGAAGCACTATTTCCTATATTACCCAGCCAAGCATATTCTATGCTTGCACTTCCAATATACAAAGGAAATAAAAGCAACTGATCTACATTTAAGGGCTGAAAAAAGAGCAGCTGGCAGAAACTAGCTGGCTGATACATGGCAAGTATCAAGGACAGAAGAGATTCCTGCCCGTATCACTACTTACATTCAAGCCCTGGACTTCCCTTGCTTATTCCTGGTACTCCATGTGATTTCCTTCTGGCTACATTAGGTACAGCAAGATAACTACACCTTTCTGCACCGATAGCACGACTGCAATTTATGGGTGTATCATCTCAAGACTACTGCAATACACCTGGCCTGGGACAATACTTTAAAATGTTCTAGAATCTTAAAAAAAAAACAACAACAACAACAACAAAAAAACGCAAAAAGCATGCTTATAAAGTACAGTTATCTTGCTACACATATCTTGCAGCTGAGTTCTTCTGCCCCTTGTGATTACCTCTCAATTTCTACACAGAATTTTTACAACAGGTTGATACACAGTCCTCTCCCATCTCTTGACCTTCCACGCTGTACAGCTTCAGCACAGGAAAGCACTGAGAGTTGCTGAGTTGGCAAGTACCAGAGCTTTGGCTGTCACTTCTAACTTTTGGGTTTTGAAATCGCATGATTTTATTACACAGGATTCCAACAAACTTTTTCTTTTCCTGGTCTCCTGGTGAGGAAAATGCTGTATGAGGGGATCAGATACTCCTCTTATGCTGCATTTTTATGGTTTTACATTACTTGGAATATATGCTTGTGTTTTGCACGGTTGTTTTTGAACACAAACTGTAATAGCAGATTTATAAATAGAGAATGAGTTACAC